TTTAGAGTGTGGTTATAAAGTGTTAATTAGAGATGATTATATTATGTAGGCGGAGTCTAGACTGTTCGTGGGGTACTAGATCTACTTGCTTACTTACAAGGTGAGTCTTCTCACTTTACTTACCTGAGTGGTAATACTGTGTGACCGGAGGGTCTTATTTGAGTTATCGACCGGAGGGTCCTATGTGCTTATACTGAGTTATGTGATATTATGCATTTTGTCGTTGTGAATTCTGCTATATTATTTTGTGCCTTACTGAGTTAGGACCGGAGGGTCCAACCGAGTTGTGAGACCAGAGGGTCTTCACTGAGATACAGGACTGGAGGGTCCAACCCGAGCTGTGAGACCAGAGGGTCTTCACTGAGACACATGACCAGAGGGTCCACACCGAGCCGTGAGACTGGAGGGTCCTCACCGAGATGCATGACCAGAGGGTCCAAGTCGAGCTATAGCCATGAGAGGGTTATTATTTGTGTATGTGGTGTTTTGGGGAACTCACTAAGCTTCGTGTTTACCGTGTTGTGTGATATGTGTTTCAGGTACTTCTCAGGATTGCGAAAGGCGCCGACTTGATTGTACATACCAGTTAGAGATCATGATTTTGAGGATTCTAGGATTTTATCAAACATTGTTGACTAGTGTTTTGACAACTTATACATTTTGTGGTTTTTGGGAAATGTGATATTGAGTTTATGTGATTTTAAAAATGAAAAATTGATTTGAAAATTTATAGTGTTGCAGTCCTGGAACTCCCTCGCCAACTATTGCACCTCAATCACCGGTGCAAACTCAGCTCGAAATCTAGTCACAAACTCATCCCATGTCATCGAATCAACTGTCGTATCACCCACAAAGCGCCCGCCCTCCTCCCACCAATCTCGAGCTTTGTCTTTCAGAAGATAAGAAGCCAGTCGGACCTTTTCCCCATCGGGACAACTGCTAGTGCGGAAGGCGTTAGCGACATCCGCTAACCATCGCCTGCTCGCGATCGGGTCCATCTCCCCAAAGTACTCCGGAGCCCCAAATGCTCGGAACTCCCAGAAGGTCAACATGCGAGCTCTGATCACTGCCACCATCTTAGACCGAAAAGCGCTCAAAAGCTCATAAAAATCTCCAGAATTCCCTCCTTGACCATACTAGAGATCACAGGAGTCTGCTCAGGTATGTTGCGGTTAATCTTAGACGAAATGAACTCTCGTGTCTGATCATCCAACTGTCCGGATCCAGAACCCGAACATTAACCCTCACCAGCACTATAACCACTAACCGGTCTGCCTCGAAGAGTCACCATACTAAAAATAGACCATACAAACCATCAGAACACGTATAAATAATATCGAGGTGTCTCACACTCTACAATCTTTCTGGTTTCATTGTAGCTCTCCTTGACACGAGTACGGATCCTCTTCTTCCAGTAGTAGGGGCCCATACTACCTTCCACATCTATCTGTACTTTCCTCAAGGATCGCTTTGAATCCTCCACGTCACTCCTTGCCCACACATATAATCTTCAATAAGATAAGGCTCCCAACACTAAATCTCTTCCTAGGTTTTCCTAAAGCAACCACCACACTACTCTCCGCCATCAGCTGCAGAAGGAACTCCCCTTAACATCCTCTAACCAGCTCACGAATACAATTACATATCGCCGACACCAGATAATTCTTCGAATGAAAGGTCTCACACTACAACGATTGGAGTCAAACAAGAGTTGCACAATAGACTTAAAACCTAAACCTTCTAAAATTATTTAGTCTCAACAATATGTAACTTAGTATATTCACTTACTAGTTAGCTGAAGTTAATGGAACTCCTAAAAGCACAAAGCAAGCAACATTCGAGCATCGAGTAATTGGAACAATCATAACCTAAATAGGTCATCCTATCACTGACTGATCAGTACTAGCATGCAAGTCTACAAGCTCATACAGTTGGCATATAAGGGCATCTCTCCTAGCATTCTATCATGCAAATCCTGGGCAGATCCTTAGCCCTAACTAGCATGTGATTCACAGATTCACAAATCAAAGCATATCATAAAACATGTATGGGTATTATGAGAAAACTTACTTGAGCTTGGTAGATTTCATGCACCACATCCCTTTCTTTCGTTAGAAAACTCTTTTTATAACATATTCTTTTTATAAAAATCTACCAAATCCTCAGTTTGAGTTCAGACACACCCGAGAGCATGCCTGAATCCCTCAAACCAAGGCTTTGATACCAACTTGAACGTTCCAAAAAGTTAAGACCAAAATTTTTGGTTTTTTATATTAAATAAACCATCAACACAATCAATATCATAAAACCATAGTGAAAATCAGAGTGTTTCAAATAAATACAAAGTATATCAGAGTCATAGAAAACGCGAAACAATATGGTGTGTGCAATGCAGTCATCCCGATCTCTTCCCCTTGGAACCAGAAGTATCTGAAACATAAACTGCAAACTGTAAGCATAAAGCATAGTGAGTTCCCCAAAATATCACATACCATACATATCAAACATATACTGGGCCCCGCCCGGTATACATATAAACATATAAACATATAATCATATAAACACATGCAATAATCACAAAGATAAATAGCATACATGATAGTCATCGGGCCCCGCCCGGTATACATATCAATATCATACATGCAGGAGTCACGCAGACAACTAGAATCCTAATCATAATAAACCATGGGCCGACATTGGTACCTGCGACCCGCTAAACACAGTGAGGAAACTCGCCTCTAGCTGCTGAATCTCTCAAATAAATCTCGGTCTGCTGGTTCGGAAAATCCGTACGCTAACATCATCAAATAATATGCAATTAATAATTGGATCTCGACCCATAATCAATAATCAAAGCTACTTGTCCAATATCCAGGGTAAAAGACCATTTTACCCTTTTTCTTACTTGGCCCAAAACCAATGTCCGACCCATTTGCTTAAAAGGCCCAAATTCCTAAATGACATCCAAGGCCCAGTAAGGCCTAACTTCCAAATTGGGCCCAAAAATCATCATGGACCTAAACCCAATAAAGTCTATAGTTTATCCATGGCCCAAAGTCAGAAGTCCAATGGCCCAACAAGGCGCAAACCCTAAAAAGCCCAAAATATGGCCCAAACCCGAGGAAGTCAACCCAAAAGTCAAACAGCTGAGTATGTTGGGTGTACTCAGACTTACGCTTTGTGTACTCGTTTCAGGGCCTGAACGCTCAGCGTACGAGCTGGGTACGTCCTGCTTATTCCCCAGATCACCAATCCAATCAATTAAGCACTTATTTGGTAAAGCCAACATGCCAAACTCTCAGATCTGATTCTAGGAGGTGACTTAACACGTAGAGTTGGCAACTTTACACTTATGCATGACTTAATGGGACCCAACACTCAAAAGGAAGCTTAATAAGAACCTTAACACTTACATGGACCCATATCTCTCATAAATATTACATTTTCATGGACAATGGACATCAATGGAGCTAAGATCTAACATCCATGGCTTCTGGAGTAGATTATAAGCTCAACTTTAGCTCAAAAGACCCCAAAATGCATAAATAACACCCTAGGTTGGATCTAACATAAAGAATTATCAATATAGGATCTTTTTACCTTAAATGACTTGCTAAGATGAAGATGACCATGGATCTACAAGTTCAAGCCACTCCCAAGCAACCTCCAAGTGTTCTTCTTCTTCTTTTTTCAATAAAACACCACCAAATCTCACATTCAAGCACAAAACTCACAAAAGGCACTTAGGGTTTCGTTCTTAGGGTATAGGCTGATGGAGGTTGATCAGTAAAATGTCCAAAGGTGGTATAAGTTGCTTAAATAGGGTGCAAACACTAAAAATTAGGGTTTGCTCCTGTAGCACATACGCCATACGTACTCCACGTACGCCCCACATACGTGGGTGAATGTCGCGTCTAGAAAAGAGCTAGTACGCTAATGCCCCAACACATGGCGTTGTCAATACATGCAAGACGATCATAGAGAGTCGGCGATTGTTCTAAAAACAATCACATCACATGATATTTGGATATGATATGCATTCTTTGGTCCAGATGGTGTAAACAATGACGTCAATGTTCTCAACCATTCGCCAGTATTCAACGACATCTACCTTGGAAAGTCGCATAATGTACCGTTTGAAACAAATAGGATAACATAGAAGCGCAGGCACTATCTTACTGATGGGATATATCCTCCCTTATTTGTTTTTATAAAATCGGTCATATGTCTGAACGATGGAAAAAGGAAAAAGTTTAAGTAGGCACACGAGTCAGCTAGAAAGGACGTGGAGCGAACATTTGGTGTACTCAAGAGGAGTTGACAAGTACTACAAGTCGGGGCACAATCATATGAACTGAAAAGGGTGAATACGTAATATACGCATGCATCATATTACATAATATAATTCTAGATGATGAAAGAAGAGAGATATGTCGATGCGACGAAAATAAAGTTTTGCTAAATGTCGAAGGATTAGTTGTTGGTACGCAAGAGTATAGGGCAAATAGAAGAGAAGTACATGATCGTGAAATTCATCACTCCTTTCGTGCGGATTTGTTGGAGCACATTTATAGGATTCACATACAGCCCGAGGCCGAGTATTGGCACAATGATTTGTTTGACGAATTAGATGAAGATTCATATATGTTCGTCGATGACTCGGACGAGGATTCAGATAATGAGGACGGCGATTCGAAGTGACGTATTTTTTTAATAACGGTTTATTATTTTTATTATGTATATTTTAATTATGTTTTCTAGGTTTTATTATGTAATTTTAATTTTAAAGTAATGAAATATTTCTATTTTAATTAAATTTTGTGTTTATTAATCATTTTTTTAATTAGTTCTTTATATTTTTTCATGTTAGAACTTAAAATTAAATTAATTTTATTTTTAAAAAATAAAGTGAAAGATAGGGAAAGGTGACTATTTCCTGGTTTTTTACTTTTTAGTGAGTCAAATGTGAGTGAGTGGAAAACTGACGTGACCCAGAAAAAATGAGTGGTAAGATATAAGTACACTCTCTGGTCTTAATTTTATATAGGGGTACTAAAAACCGTATATACGAAATTCTTATTTATTCTCCGCCTCCAATTAAGCTAACCTAACATTATATCCCAAGCTCGCCCATCTTAGCCTTTTACCCATGTTAATAATCTATTAGGGGTTGTTTGTTTTTTTTTGTGAAGATCTGCGCAACCACTTTTGTCTGCGCCGCGCAGACAACACGCAGACATATGCCATCGCAGATTGTTTGTTTTTTGGAAGTGCGCAGATCAAAAAACGTCTGCACGAGGTCTTCCTGGCGCAGACATGGGCCACTGTCTTCAAAGGTCTTCAGACTTCATTTTAACCTAAACCAAAAAAAAACATGGGCCATCGTGTAGTTTTTTTTTTCTTTTTTTTTTTGCTGAAAATGCATTTTAATGTTTATGACATAAAATTAAATTTGAAAAATCAATTTATTTCAACAGCTGCAGACGTTAAAAACAAACAGTCTTCTTATTGCAGACTGCAGACATTTGGTCCACCTCTTCTGCCGCAGAGACTTGCAGATGTGGTCCGCAGACTGCAGACATTTTGGCTTCAAAAAAACAAACAATACCTTAGTGTTGATGTTAATAGTCCACCTTAGCCCTTTATCCCTATTAATAAACTATTAATCCAAACTTTTTCTTTCTTGCTTTCAAACGTGAGAGAAGTCTCACAGATAACAAAGTTCCAAAGCTCTAGTCAAACGATCTAATATCATCTAGCGATTTTTGCAACATTTTTATCACCAATTATTCCTCGTCCCACCACCTAGAACTCGCATGCAAGTGGCGAGCTAACCCAAACCATCTATCTTTCTGCCCGATTCAACCGGCTAACGATTAACTGTCCGGTTTTCAGCAACCTATATTTTATATGTTATCGAACTCAAACTTGACCGGTTCCAATCAAACCAGTCCAGTCCAGCTTTCAAAACATATCGATTGTAAGACACAATATGTGAAATTTCTTTAGCTCAAAAATGATAACACACCAATTTACCTAAGATTGTTAGGGAAATAGAAGATCCAGATTTAATTATGACCTCACATTAAAAGTATAATGATGTCAGATAAGCGTAAGAAGAAATACACCGACGGCTAGGATTAAAAGGCGTTGAGCTGCTCAACTTGAGCACAGGATGTAGATGGCAGCACGCAGCACAGCAGTAAAGCTTTTGGCAACTTTTGGGTTTTCAACAACTGGGCCCTTCACCTTTATTAAAGTCCAACTTCTACCCTAAAAGTCAACTATAAAATGTATCAATCATATGCCAATAAATACATTTTTTTACAATAATTCCACCATCATTTAAAAACGCGAAAAAGAACTGAGAAAGGGTTTTGGGCATGAATTTATATATATATATATATATATATATATATATATATATATATATATATAAATAAAAGTACTCTAGATGGCCTTATATATAATTATTAGAATTAGAATATATATATAGATTGAGAACATATAAGGCCATCTAGAGTACTTTTATATATATATATATATATATATATATATATATATATATATATATATATATATAGAGTTAGGTTCATTTGTTTAAACTAAGTATTGTGTTATCGTATGTATAAATGTGGGCCAATCAAAATTAAATAAAAAATTAAATAATTAAATAATTAAATAAATAAATAAGGGTAATTTAGTCATTTGTTTAATAACTTCCAAAAATAATCCCTATAATCATGGTATCTCTCCAGTTTAAATCTCATTCCCCTCTTTATCTAAAAACCGATTTCTGAAAACCCTAAATTGAACAAATCGACACCCCCACCCTTGTCCCTCCAGCCGTCATTTCCCCTTTATTCCAGTCTGCATCAAGTTCCGATTCCTGCTTGGAGTCGGACGACGAAGCTCAAGCTGCTCTCGAATTACAAACCCTAGAAACGGAGCTCTCGACAAGGAGCAGCGAAGCAGCGGCGCAGGTGAGTATAAAAACTATTGGGAGACCAATATGTTTCTCTAAACCGAAGAATTCGATAGGTAATCATACTAATTAACTAATCATATGATCTTCTCCTTTTCTCTTTGTTGTTTAAACCTGAATCCATCGTTTTCTTCTGCAATTTCTGAAATACAGTTGGGGCGGATTGGAGGAAACATTTTCTGGCTACTGTGGTTCAAATTCGCCGGACGGAAGTCGTCGGCGGCCTCTCAAGAGGGATAATGAAACTAGAGTTATCAGAATCTGGGGTTTACGATTTTGATCAGGACACAGTGTTCATGTCAACGGAAAAATCAAAGAAGAAAAGGATTCAACAATCTCCATATACAAGTGATTCAAGGGCCTTTCCGATTGAAATTATTGAAGTAAGTCAAAGTCTTGAACTGTTTTTACGTACTCTCATGATTTTATCTCAAATTGATGATTGTGTTAAACTATTAATTAACAGTTAAAAGTGTCATACGTGGGAGAGAAGATAGCATTGGTGAGTTTGAAATGCAGGAAAAGAAGAGACACGATGGTCAAGATTTGTGAGGTTTTTGAATCTTTGAAGCTCAATGTTGTCACTGCCAACATCACTGTTTTTCCTGAGACCCTTTTCAAGACACTCTTCATTCAGGTTTGCACTAGAAAACATACACTTCGGTGGTGTGTTCTTGACTGAAAACGAAGAAGAGAAGGAATGCAGGGGTGATTTTTCTTTTGTATTAAATATTAATTGTGAATCGATACATAAAAGAATAGAGAATGGAAGAGTGTTTATGTAGATGATTCAATGGATGATATTGGTGAGATTCCAATTCTATTGGAATGGAATCACGAATTCCAATTCTATTGGAATGGAAAGACGAATTCCAATTCTGTTGGAATCACAGATGTTGATGCTTGAAGAACAGACCACAAAATTGAAACGGACCACATTATTCTTTTAGAATGTATTAGTCGTTGTTAGATTTTGATGTTTTCTTTCCCGTTTTGATTGTTTTTTAGTTTTATTCCTTAACAATAAATGTAATTTTTAACAATTGTTACCCGTATTCTATAAGAAATAATGTGTTTTTTGATTTTATTCTTCAATTGATTATTCAAGGATTTGTTATTCTACAAGAAGTTTTTAAATTCATGATCAAGAAATAGGTTCAAGAATATTTTTATTATTTATGGTTCAAGAATATTTTTATTTTTGAATATACTCATAAACATATTCTGTCAGAATGTCCGAATTAAAAAAATTATAATACGTAAAATCGGATTTTTAAAATTAGTAGAATCTATGATCCCTTAAAAAAATGCAATTTTCCTTTATTAAATCTATATAATTGACTTTATTAAATCTATATTAATTGACTAAATTACCCTTGTAATTAATTAAGATGATATTTTCAATTATATTTAATTCAATAATATATATTAATCACTTTCTTAAAATAAGTAAATTTGATTGACCCACATTTATGCATACAATAACACAATAATTACTTTGAATAGAATAACCTAGACCTATATATATATATATATATAATATATATATATATATATATATATATATATATATTCTAATATAATTATATATAAGGCATTTAGAGTACTTTTAATGGACGGTTGGCTGTCTACATGGCACATAACTATAATTATAAACATCTGAGTGTTTAGTGGTGTCTAGTGATTTAAGTTTTCATGGTCATTTGTGTGGTGGGAACCAATTATCTTTTTTTTTTCTATGTCTCTCTCTACATTTTAAGTAACTAAAATATACATATTTTTTATTTAAATATTTAAAAAATAAGAGAGATATAGTTGTGTCTATACCAACCTTTCATGGTTGTGTGTGGCAATGAGGTAACACCTATCATATTAATGTTTAGTTATGGATTCTATGACCTAATATAAGAAAAATGTTACATACGTTTATTATTAATTGTATCCCTTAAACTTTTAATTAACTCCTAATTATCATTTAATATCAATCACATTAAAATATGTTTGACCTATTTTTAATTTTTTTAATTTTGTTGTTTCTTCTTTATAGTTTATTATTATTATTATTATTATTATTGTTATTATTATTATTATTCAGGTTGTTGCAAAATATCGAAAAGTACGAATTTTTTTCATGTGAATATTTTATACAACGAGCTAATAACACACCCAGGAAAGTAGGTAATGATTTATGGCAAATATTTTGATGCAATGAGACATTCGTTGAATTTCATTGGATCAGGTTCTGTGACTGTTAGTTTATATTGTTATACATTGTATAGTATAGGGTCCTTATTGTATTTTCTGCATTCTTGCTTGTACTATTTATACAGATGGAATACACACAGAAACTCTAACGGATATTTTCACTATCAAACATGGTATCAAGCCCTATACGTATTCTCTCCTGCTCATACGTATGAATTTTCTTCGGCGCCACTTTCACTGTTTCATCATTGAGCACCTGCCATCTATACTCTGTTACTCTACTCACATGTGCTTCAAGTCTCCTGGTTCTTTTCAAAACCGTTAACAGTACCATCACAGTCCACTGCTGCTGCTACTTGGCTCTTGATTCAAAAACGAAACAGTCACCGTTTTTTTCTACTTTATCGGACTCCTTCTGTCGCCGCTTTCTCCTGATTCAGAATCTTCGAGATCCTGCTTAATCACATCTTCCAGGATTAGCACTTCATACTGCTATAATTCTTCTTCTATCAGTAAGCAAGCTACTGTTCTTTCGTTCTTTTTATTTCACTGTTTTTAAATTTTTCGGAATTATGTCTGCCCCTGGATCATCCTCATCTACTGTCCCAACCGCTCAAACTCTTGTCTATGCGGTCACTAACATATACAATCAGTTCAGTTTCAAACTAACTGTGGATGGGTCCAAATACAAACTTTGGAGACGAATCTTTACTGATATTTGCAAAGGTGCCAAAGTCATGGGACATATTACTGGAAAATCAAAACCAACAAGCAATGAAGATGAAGACTGGGAATCCATTGATTCTCGTGTTAAGTCCTGGTTCTACTCCACAGTTGATGCAAATCTGCTTCAAATCATATCACGAGACAACTGTACAGCTAAAGATCTTTGGGATGAACTTGACAAATTCTTCCTTAATAACAAAATGTCTCGCATGCTTCAATTGCAAGATCAATTCAGAAATACGAAGAAGTGTACCTCCTCAATAACTGAATTCTGCCACACGTTGAAGAATCTGGCTGATGCATTATTGGATGTCGACTCCGAGATCACAAATATCGAGCTTGTCATGCAAATACTACGCCAATTGTCGCCGTTATATCACAACATTGTTGATGTTATTACCAACACAAAGCCATTCCCATCTTTTTTAGAGGCTAAAAACATGTTGTTATTACATGAAGCTCGTGAAGAAACTATTGATGTCACACTAGATAGCTCAACTACCTCCAATGCTGTTCTTTACTCGACATCGACAAATTCCGAAAAATCTAAAAATAAATGGAATAAAAATCGAAATAACAATCGGGTTGCTTCTAGGGGGGTAATTCTAGCTCGTATGTTAGTACTAACCAAATTGCAGGAAGTAGTTCGGGTCAACAACCTCATTTTGCAGGTATACTTGGTTCACAACCAACAAATCAGAATTTTGCTCCAACACTTCAACCGACTACATGGATCAATCCACAACAGTTTCAGCAATACTCTTTTGGTGGCCCAAATCCATCTCTTCCAGCAGCCTTTGGAGCACCTTCGGCCCACCCTCTGATGATGCACACTACTCCTATTCAGCAGCCATGATCAGCCCAGTTCCAGCAGCCGGTCCACTCTTCTTTCTCGGTCCAGCAACACCCCTATGGCCAGTCACACTTTGCGCAAAATAGGCCTGCTGCCTTCGGCTACACCCCACAACAGTCAACAAATTTCTTTGGCGGTCAAGGTCCGGCTCCAAATCAGTAAATGACTGACCTTAGCTCCATCTTCCAAGCGATGTCAGTACAATCACCACCAGATAACAATTACTACATGGATACTGGCGCGAGCTTACATATGTCATTTAATCAAGGTAATTTGCTTTCCCTTATGCCATGTAATTCTAAGTCTATCATGGTTGGTAATGGTGCTCTTCTTCCGGTTAGTCACACAGGCCACTCTTTTTCCCCTTTTTCTCATAACAAATTTATACTCAAAGATATTATTTTGTCTGATAAAATTGTTAAAAATCTTGTGTCTGTGCGTAAATTTACCACTGACAACTCTGTTTCTATTACTTTTGACCCTTTTGGTTTTTCTGTTAAGGATCTTGATTCAGGTACTTTGCTCCAGCGCTGTGACAGTAATGGAGATCTCTATCCCATCATTCCGTCCTCTTCGCAACACTCTGCTACTAACCTTGCTGACGTGTCTCTCCCAGTCTGGCATCGTCGCTTAGGGCATCCCGGCCCCACCATTTTAAAGTTTTTACAATCTCGCAAGTTTATAACAGCTTCTCCTAATAAGTTTTCCGTCTGTCATGCATGTCAACTTGGAAAACATTGTCGTCTTCCGTTTCAGTCTTCTTCAACAAAGACTTCTAAGCTGTTTGAGTTAATACATTCTGATTTATGGACTTCTCCTGTTTTGAGTATTAGCGGTTTCAAATATTACATTTTATTTTTAGATGATTACTCTCATTTTTTGTGGGTTTTTCCCTTACGTGCTAAATCTGATGTTTATTCTGTGTTTTGCAATTTTCAAGCTTATGTTAAAACTCAATTTAATTCTAAAATTCAATGTTTTCAATGTGATAATGGTCATGAATACAATAATCAACATCTTTTGAATCACTTTCAATCTCATGGCATACGTGTTCGTTTCTCTTGCCCTTATACGTCTCAACAAAATGGAAGGGCAGAACGTGTCATACGTACCATCAACAACATTCTTCGCACATATCTATTCCAAGCTTCATTGCCCACTAAATTCTGGGCCGAAGCCCTTGTCACAGCCGTTCACACCCTTAACATTCTTCCTACGACCACCCTATCCTTCCGAACGCCATTTGAGGTTCTATTTGGAATCTTTCCTTCATACGACCATCTCCGTGTGTTTGGGTGTCTCTGTTATCCCAATCTCACATCTACTTCTCCTCACAAACTCTCACCACGCTCCACGGCTTGCGTCTATCTCAGCCCTTCTCCAGATCATAAAGGTCACCGGTGCCTTGACCTCACATCTCAACGTCTCATCATCTCTCGTCACGTCATCTTTGATGAGGATCACTTTCCCTATAAAGACTTTCATTCTTCTCCACTTAATTCTGACTATGATCATCTGATTTCCGAAGATGTTCCCCCTACCATTCACACTTCTGCTCCCTCTGATAGTAGTACTCCTCTGGCTACATCTTCCTCTTCAGTGGATACATGCACTCATTCTTCTTCTTACCCATCTTCACCGGTGCATGAATCCACTCCTCACTCTCCTCCCTCTACATCTCCTACCTCTATGTCTCCTACCTCTACATCTCGTACTATTCCGCGTCATTCCATGACTACCCGTTCTCAAACTGGATCCTTAAAGCCTCGGCATATCTTCAATCTTTCTGCTACTACTGACATTTCTCCTATCCCGCATTCTACTCCTCAAGCTATGTGTGATCCAAACTGGAAATCTGCCATGGATTTCGAAATGGATGCACTTTGTTCTAATCACAC